CTCTGTTTTAACAAATAGCTACTACACACTATAGGGCTTTTTCGTGTGAATGGTACGATGCTTATCTAGATTTTACAAAATTGTTACTGGCTGATGGGGTACTGGAAGTGGTAGTATTAGTGAAGAGAAAAAAACAAGAATAAAAAGAATAAAAAAGGTAATAAGAAAGAATAAAAATGACAAGAAATTGCCGCCAATACAAGAACTTGGAATGTGATTATCATCTCTGGACAATCGTGGCAGTACCAGAAGAAATACAGATCGCCATTGCAAAGAGAAGGCTTTTCAAGAGTAAAGCGGCTTCTCAAAGACATCACTTCCAGCCATGAAGACCAAATGTGATGTTCAAAGGAATATGTGACAAAATTAACGTTCATCGACAGGAAAGTAACAGAATCTAGTTTAAGCAAAACAAAACGAAACAATAGACGAAACTGACACAATAAAACAATTATTCTTCCATTAATAATTGAGGCTATCACGAAATTCGTCGCGTTTTTAGAAAAATCCAAACATCTTGATATCATGGAAAATTTTATCTTATCCCAGAATTAGATAGCTAAATTGATTGAAAATACAAATTTTTCTCATTTTAGCACATAGTTCTCTTTTTATAGCAGATTTAGAAGCTAAGTTTGAAAATAATTGTGATGGACGGACAAAAATTTTTTTTCGAATTTCTTCCAATCGAATTTACTTCATACAAATCTGCACCTTTGTTATAACTGATAATTCTGGTTACTTTCAACTGTCCGTTCATTTTCGAGAAAAAATGTTTTGTCACATACGGACAGTCTCATTTTCCTCCGGTCTGTCCGTCCGGCCCCCCATTCAGTCAAAATAGTTTCATCCAACATATGAAAAAAATTAATCATATCACCTTTTGCCTTTTAACTATCTCATTTCGAAATAACGAGCATGATAATTGCATTTAATCAGTGCTTAATAACGTAGTTCATGTGAAATTTAACAATTTCACCTTGTCCGTTGGTCACAAAAAGTTTACAATCACACTTGGGTCCCTGTGTTTCATCCGCGTTTCATTTCCCGCCTTTTTTCAAAGTTGTACGTGCATTTGTACGTGTATGTGGTTTTATAAGAAATGCTTCTTTGAGTGATTGAAACGTTTGAAATTATTACTTCAAGATACAAAATAAACCTCAAAAGACACAGAAAAATGTTTTTATTATTGTTTAAGACTTTTTCATCATATTTCTTCACCATAAACATGTTCACCACAAATTCGTGACGGATGGATAATCGTAAATTCCCTTAAAAGGAACCAATCGGTATTTCTGCTCGTATCATCAACATTAATAGTGATTGAGGCACCACATCATAGGTAAAGCAAAAGAACAATTTTTTGTCGTTATTTATAGGGAGGAAATGATTTCTAAAAAATTTGTGACGGATGGACAATTCGAAACTTATCCAATAACTGCACATATGGGGTTGAACTACCAAATAAACGATTGACACCAACCATTATTCACCTTTAGTAATTGTTGATGACGAAGAATGTGCATTTTAACAATATGAAATTAGTTTTCTCAGTGTTTTCTATCCCGTCCGTCCGTCCGTCCGTCCTTCCGTCCGTCCTTCCGTCCGTCCGTCCGTCCGTCCGTCCTTCCGTCCGTCCGTCCGTCCGTCCGTCCGTCCGTCCTTCCGTCACGACAGACATTTTTATCCTTCTGAGGCAATGTGCTTATCCCAGAAGTGATTGCTTCAACTCATCTACGCCTCCTTATGGGTTTTTTGACACAAAAGGAGAAAATTCAGGAATCATCCGCTAATTTTTGAGACCTTGTGAAAGTATCGTTTGTCCGTCCGTCACGGAAATTGAATTTCGTAATAGCCCCAATTATTCTTACATAGCCAAACGTATTCCCGCCATCGTGAACGACAAAGAAAATAGATCAAACACTCCCTTGGAAATTATCATCTCAAAGGCAGCATCTACTGTTTGCTTTCGAAAGTTTTCATCTTATTTTTCAATGCAATTAATACCTCTGCAAAAAAATACCTAAATCAGGTCTATAGAAAGCTATCTCAAAATGGCATTGTCATAGAACTGCATGAATTATTTATGCTGTCGTTATCAACACAAAAACCAAAAAGCACGTTTTAAAAAAAGCACCTTTCTGATTTATTGTCTTCAAGTTAGTAAAGGGAAGATCGTATTTGTAAGCAAACAGCTAAAGTTGTATAAAATGAATAGTTCGGAATTCATCTAAAAAGAATGTTAAATCCTTGGGCATTTTAGATCACAATAGTGGTTGTAATAAATCCTCAAAATAAAGAAAGTGTTTATTGAAAAAATCAAATCTTGCTGTAATCTAGTCTAGCACGAATTAACGTGAAAATATGGCACCTGAAATTTCGAAAGTTGCCATGGAAAGTCTTCGAGACAAAATAACAAATGCGAAGAAAATATTTTGATCAGAAAAGAACAGATCTATTAGCAATCCTAGAAACAAAAACGATTATTGGGATAAACTGGGATCTGCGAATGCAACTCAACCAGTCTAGGAAAGGGTTCAAGCTTTTATATATTTCCTTGTACGAGGTATCATCTTGTAGGCATCTCAAAAAAGTAGAGGTAGCCAATTAAATTTTTGTTCAGAGATAAAATTTTCAAGTTTTGTGGTAGAAAATATCCCATTATTTCTCAAAAAAGTTTGTTTCTGCTTTAAGTATGGTTTCTAAAGATGGAAATAAATTCCAGATACTAAGCCATATGCAAACTGTTAAGTCTGTCTACTACTAGTTCCGTCTGTTCATTAAGACACCCCTTTAAGAAGTAAATGCATGGGCGCAGGTTTTAATATTGCCTTCTAGATACAGAAAACTTCATGAAATTCATCGAAACAAACAGTCTCTTCCACAATCCAGTTTTTCCGACCTCAAATCATCGATAATCTAGGACAAGACTGGACACGCAATGACAGATGGGCAAATAGTAGTTGCTGGAACAGAAGGATTTTAGGGTTTGCCTGCTTTGTTGCTATTGCTTCTTCGTACCGATTCAAGGCCAGTACATCAAACCGCTCGAGCCAACACCAAAAAATTTCGCTTCATCAATTTACCTGAAATTACAATTTTCCAAAAATTTGCCCACAAATCAGTCAGTGCCTTACGTAAATGAGCCTCAAAGACAGACATCAAAACCAGTCTCCAGGCTGGACAGAGAATGTAGCAACAAAGACATTGTGGTAAGCATTGGTAGAAATCCAACAGGATTCTTATCACTCGAATGCGAAGTTGAAAGCAATACCAAAGATCTTTTTGTAATAGATTATGCATTAATATCTTGCTGCTAAAGCACTAGTGAAACTGTCTGCCAACATTCGCCAAAAAACCATATATTGACAAAAAGAACGCGCAATTGCAGTTATTCTTGTAACTGTATCAAAGGAAACCCGTTTCCAAATTCGTTTTACATGCCGGGGCCTACCTTGTAATGGGCATTTCGGAAGGCCTGCAACTCTCACGCCTGCATTTCGAAACGTCTTGTACGACAGCAGGTAAACTTGCATTATGAAGAGGAGTTTGAAGGTCTATGGCCGACAAGTATTTGTAATAAGTTGCTTTTCAGACTCATATGAAAACATTTCAGTCTCTTTCCTTCTGTTGCCTATATGATGAACGGCAAAGACGTGGAGACCTGTATAAAGCCTGCTACTGCCAAATTAAAAAGTTGTACAATTGGCCTGCATAATTAGCTTGTCTAAACCGGTTCAGTAACAATATGAATATTTGTATCTAACAAACGTAAATTTATAAATATTTCAGCCAACACAATAAAAACATCATAAAATAAAGGCCTTTAGAATCCAGACAAACGTAGCGGCCGTTCTAGCTCGGGCTCGGGGAAAATCTACACTGGTCAGTTTGATTGAGATATTTTGCAACCTAAACACTAAAGGCCCGTCTACACGATAAAACATCGTCATACAAAACATCATCCAACATCATCAAACAATTGTTGTACGATGTTCATAGAGCAAAAAAACATTACCATACATAATCAAACAATGCCAAACAAATGTATGAAGATGTTTGACAAAAATTCGCGCGAAAACTTTGATGGAATTCAGCAAGCATGGATGATGCAGACATAATAAATGCAATTTCAGCCTCTTGTATAATTTTAGTCTTAACTAATAAACGACGGATAAAAAGGATAAAAGGTGGTTATGGGTGAAGGACTGGATAAGGGAGCGTGCAAACCATGGCGCATTTCATAGTCTCTCATCACCAAACAATCTTTCTTGTTGTAGCAAAATTTTGTGTCAACTCCAGCAAAGCTGTGTTTCTTTTCGCTCTGTCCTTATATTCCTTAATTCTCATGTTGTATAAACAAGGATAAGTTTCGTAGGCCACGATAAGTTCGTGTGTAATCTCATGCAATTCCTGCAGTTTTTTCCGCCATAATTCTTGTTATGAAACACGAGGAGCGCTATGCGCTCGCGCTAATTCTGCAAATTTGATTGGAGAATATCTTGAACATCGTAAAACATCGTCAGATTTTTGCTGCAAGCAGCAAAATCCTCGAACATCGTCAAACATGTTTGATGATGTTCAAGGTTGCATGATGAAGTGGTCAACACGATCAAACATTTGTTCTTGAACATCGTCCAACACATGTCTGAAGATGTTTGACGATGTTATGTATGACAATGTTTTATCGTGTAGACGGGCCTTAAGCAACCATTTCTTTGTAAATTCTGATTCACATTCACATTTCAGACAGTTTAACCACCATAAATTTTGAAACGAGTCATTATGTTTGGTTTTTAATCGTGAATAATGTAGTTGTATGTAGTTTAAGGTTGCCTGTTGGCCATGGGGTAGTCATTGTCTTTTGCTCCTCTTGGTATCGTGTATGTGGTGTAGTATAGTAACTAGGATAAGTATAGTAGAAAGTAACATGTTCTGTAATATTTTATATGCATAGAAAAAATCTACACCTATAAATGTAGAATTAAAGAAAAACTCACCGAAAATACACCCTTTTTCTTTCCTTTTTTCACTGATCCTTGAGATGCAATGGATAGAGAGCTTCCGTAATTGCCTGATGCCAGTTGTTCAAATGACGCCCCTAGATTGAATGGTGACGGGGAGGACTGCAATTCGTAACCAGTGCTCAGCAAATTTGGATTGCTCTTTGCACGAATAATCATCTCAGAGGCTGCAAAAGACCAGGAATTACATTATTCTGGTGGAATTATAATCCTATTGATAGAAAAACCAACCGAAAGCCACAACTTATGAAAATAAAAGTTTGAAAGGAGCATTTACTGGAAATTTGCATAAAACATGTTTTATTCGTTTGGGCACCAAGTTTTAGGATGTTTTATGATGTTTTGCATCAAACCTTTCGTAAAACATCTCTTTTGTTCTCATGTTTGACCAACAATGTTGCGTTCGTTTGACCAGCCCTTAAAACATTTGTTTTACTCACGCAAGCGCAGTAGGTCAAAATTCGGCAAATACAACGCAGTAACTGTAGGAAGATGTGTGGCAGCGCTTGACCATCACAGATGTTTTAACACTTGTTTGACTCGTTTGGCCAGGTCATAAAACATCGTCCAACAATGTTGGTACAAAAAGTTTGACAATGTTTTACGAATGTTTTATTCGTTTGACCGGGCTTCAAGGAGGGTTTACGGTGAGAGAGCCATCAAATTTGCTTAAGCACTTGATTCTTAAGTCACACAACCGAAATCTTGTTTTCAATTGAAAATGAAACAAGGATAAGAAAAACTCAGTTTGAAACTAATGTTTCGAAAACAACTCGTATTGCCTGTGATGTGAATGATACAGATATTTTTGATGGGCTCTTTCATGGGATAATTTAAATGTTTAGTGAATTCTTTTCTTTTTGTTGCTGCGTTCCAGCTTTTACGTTACTAAGAAACCATAAAATATTGATACTCATCTGGCATAACAACCTAATTACATCTATACCTGCTTATCTCACATCACTGCGGGGTCTATTCTGTATGTAGTTGCCTATAGGTGCACCAAAATCATTTTACTGTATAACGATATACAGCTAGTGTTTGCAGCTAGAAAAAGCTGCATTTAAACAAAACAAAAGACCGTAAAACCACGAAGAATTAGTTAAATATGCGAGGGACAAGATATGCGATTATTTGTACTTTCCGAAAGCATTTATTGCTCATTGACTGCTATGATGCATGGCATTCTGATTAATTGCCAAATCATGGAGGTTGCATTAACCACACAAGGAAGCATTAACCACACAATATTAGTCACCATAGTTTCGCAAGTATTGCAACTTAGGTCTAGATTCTATAGCAAAAGCAACACCGTAAGGAGCCATAATCTATGTTCAAACTAAGCAAGACAGCGATCATTCACTACAACATAGCATGTAATTAATAATCAATGTTCTTGTAACAAGATGTCCAAGTTTGAGGTTGTTTGGTAAGAAAGTAATGTTTAGAGTAGGATAAATATTTTCAATTTCAAAAGGAATCTTGAGTAAACAACTGCTCACTAGAATGGCACGATACATTATAAAAATATTTAGGATGTGCGTCGACGCTGATACAGACAACAGAAGCAAAATAGTTACTAAGGTCTAACGAATTGCTTTAACATTAAATTGAGACACTTTTACTAGAAGTACCTGGCACTAAATGCAGCGTATTGAATACAGATGTCAAGCCTTTCATAAAAGAATATCTCTTGATCTCTCGTTTCGATACGGGATAGTCCATCGCGACCAGTCCAGATATCTTTTCCTTTGATAAAACTAACCCTATCTCACATCAATGAGAAAATGCCATTTTTCGAACAGTCGAATTAATAAGATGCGGTCGAAAATCCTTTGATAATTTGCAATGTATGCCCGGCCACCAGATACGATAATGAAGAAATTACAGTATGCAGTGGAAAAATCCCGCTACAATTATCAGTGGTCTGGTGTGGACAATACGTTTTGTCTTTGTTTTCCCGTCGGTTCTCAATGACATTCTAAAAATATTGAAACCATTTCAATGGATAAGACCGACAATAAATTCGTACGACTTGGTGCCGCGCAGCAGCGGAAACAAATAAATTGAAAAGCCAGCGCCTGATTGAAACAGAGGCAGAGCTCGTTTTGAAATAAGCTGCGGCGTTTTCGCGAAAGGCCCTAAAGTAACTATCTTGCTTTAATGCAACTTGCTATATTCAACGAAAATACCGGATAAAAAACTCAAGCATTATAAGTTACAGTCATCTACTCGAAAACGAACAGAGCTGCCAACTGTGTGTTTGAATTTTCTTAATAACCTGTCTATAGCAAATCATCCTATCGAGCATTTTTTAGTGATAGACACTTAACACCAATCAGCAGTACTCTTTCCGTATTCAGGAACAGAAGCTGGTTGAGGAAGTTGGAAAAATAACATCGTTTTCCTCAAGTCACTTCAAACACTGCAGTCAAGCGTCAATTTAGCTGGAAAAGTTCCTTACTAGAAAGCTTGTCATTCTCTGGAGGATTTTCTTAATTTTGGGATCAATAATAAAAAGAAAAGTTTCTAAGGGATCCAAAATTTCCCTAAGTTGATACTAGTGTTTCAAACAGCGTTTAATGATCGTCCAAAGGTCATTTTTTAATTAATAATTACAGGTGCAGAGCAAAATAATTGAAGGCGTGTACAACTGCAATGCTTTTCGATGAAGGACGACAACCGAGATACGGGTTTAGAATTCTCCCGGCAAACGGGTAGATGAAACATAGCTTCAATGTTGGTGTCATGGTGTTTATGTCAAAGGGAGGGATCCTTGAAAAAGGGGAAATTTCAGAACTTGCTTGTCTGGGGTTGGATCAGTGTTAAAGCATTGGCTACCCCCTCCCTATAAATAACAAGGACGTGATCAAAAGGGTTTTTGAAGTTTAACCACGTAGGATCTAACCCAGACTTTCCCATTTCGCTATCCACAGACTTTTGTCAGTGTCACAAATGGACCACAGATTTGAGACACAGGTTACTGTACCACGTTTAGAATATTTGGATATTTCTTAACAATTCGCAGCTGTAGAGTCAACATGTCACTACAGCAACAAATTCCAGTGAAATTGTGCAGGAAAAGAAAAATTTTGCAATAGGCGTAATTCACGGATTACTCAAACCATGCTCAAAAAACCTGCGACTTCAGGCAAAGACTAATTTCAACATGGAGATTCAAATTCTATAATCCATCTTTGGAAAATATAAAGATAAAAAGTTGACTATATTTGCAACCAAAAAGTAGAATTAGCCCTTCTTGTTCTATCTTCGCTTTCGTTTTACCCTAATCAGAACATCCGGTAACAGCCCCTTCCGGGTTGTTTGTGTCGCTCCCTCTTGGCCGGGCAGCCTAATATTGCACCAAATAGAGGAGGCTGCTGGGAATCTTATGAAGTAAAAAGAAGAGAACTTTTAAAGCTGCATCGAGAGAACTTAATTTATTACAAACTTCTCATCGAAGTGTTCGATAAATCTTAAAATAACTATGATTAGGCTCAGAATCAGTGATGCTCATAATTCGATCTGAAGTCGGGCAACGGATAGCAAAGCCAAAAGCATACAAGCAGGCTACTGGAGAATTTTGTGAAACATACCGGTAGGCACTTTGAGAGAAAAAAGTGCTGTTATTTCATACTTCCATGACGATCTACGCTCTTTCTTGTACGACCGATGAAACTCCATCATTAATGAACTCTATATTTCTCCACTCTAGTTTCTTATCTTCTTCTCGACTCGAGTAAAAACAACTATTGTTACTCCCCTTGTACTTTGATAACGGGTAACTGCGAACACCTTTGACCTTGAGAACTGCTACTTTGCTTCTCAAAACAATACCACCGTCAGATTCATTGCCTTCTTTGATTATTTCCCCACTTGCACTGTTTGATATCACATTGAAGGTATTGATTACCAAAGAAATTTTAATTTGTCACGCTCCGTTGAATGCATCTGGATTATCTCCATGGTTTGCGAAGAATTTATAAAAGCTCCTTCGTTGCCTATCTCTCGCACATAGCTAACAATGCAAGGATGGGAACGAATGACTGGCAACGAACGCATAAAGCGACTCCTTTAGCGAATGACTTTGGAAAAGAAAGGAGGGTGCTGGTCTGCTCATCGTATGCCTTGGTAAGTCTTTCGACTGGCCGTAACAGTATTTCAAATAAACATTTCTAGGCTTCTTGCTGGATTCAGTGGCGGAAATCATTTTTCAGTTGGGGGAGCGAAAACCCACCAAACAAGCAAATTTGCCGACAAATAACAATATTTACGGATAAAAGCGCTAAAAATTGTGTTCTAACTGGCAATTTCCAGCACAGGCTGGATTTTCCATTGAATAAATATTGTTTGGCACTGTTCTGTTAGCTCCGTGCAGTTAACAGTACATTTGTAGAAATTACGTAATAAGTCCCAGACCCCTGATATCACCTCAAACAGTTTGGAAAGAAGGGCGTGCTCGCGGCCTCCAATCACGATATGATGGTTGCTTATTCAGCTAGAGCCCATAGAACAATGTTTGCTGCCAGTAAATGGTATGTATTTATTTCTTCAAAGAGCGTGTTGCTTTGAGGCCGATTATTCTTGAGCTGTTTTCTACTTTAGATAGATGAAAGGTTCTTATTCGTTTATTTTTCGATTCACCAACACCATCTAGAATGCTTGCCCAAAGTCTTGATTACAATAACGTCAGTTTTTTAAGGGAAAATTCAGCCATTCCCATTCCCCCCTTTGAACAAAGTTAATTTTCTACAAAACAACATAGGGGATTAGGAAGAAAACTTTTTTCTGCGACTTTTATGATATTTTCTAAATTGTCAACATTATCTAGGGTTGGGGGGGGGGGGGGTTGGGGTACCGAAATGGTAGTATTCGAGAAAGGAATTGAAAAATATAAAAACACATTGCCAATTGCTGGGTGTTCCAAGTACTTTTGGCAATGATTGTACATACCATTCATTATCAATAACCATTCCATCCCAAGAAATCGTTTAAGTAGGAAAATGTCATAGTGAAAAAATGTTGAAGAAAACCCGTCCTTCGTTGCCTATCTCTCGCACATAGCTAACAATGCAAGGATGGGAACGAATGACTGGCAACGAACGCATAAAGCGACTCCTTTAGCGAATGACTTTGGAAAAGAAAGGAGGGTGCTGGTCTGCTCATC